TACTATATTTTTTCTGTGCAACAACTCGAGGATTTCAAAATTAAATGGCTTAATTTTTTCTACCACAACCAAGATTCATCAATCACCGTAGTTTTTATGCTAACGTCTCTTGAATACTTGAAAGTAAGTGAAAAGCTTCTATAAGATCCCATTTTAACTTCAACCATAACATTTTTTTCCTTGATCATAGATTTTAGAACCATTACCTTCAAAACGAAGAACATAACCATGCTTCAAAAGTTGTAGAACACCTAGTAAGCTTTGATCCAACTCGGGATTGAAGAGCACATTGCCAATCAATTTTTTCCCTTTCTTTGTGTTAACACCAATACTGCCTTTGCCTTTCACTTTTACTACAGTCATTGCCCACCTTCACTTTGAAATTGAAAGTGGTATCCGTGTCTAAGAAAATATACTTCTCGGGCATCATGTGATTATTACTCCCGCTACCTAGCAACTAGACCTCATTCTTCTTTCTGGAAACATGTTGGCATGCAAAAAAATAGATTTCCTCTGGCCAAATTTGCTTGTTGGTAATTCTTCATTCTACGATCCTTTTGCAAATGACCGAACCTTTACAATGGTAACATTGAGGCTTTCCTTTGAACCAACAATCTTTTTTAAGATGGCTTATATTGTTGTAGACATTGCACTTCAGTGAAGAAACTTCTCTGCTTAATATTCGGTCAAAGCTACTTTTTCCTCTTCCTCTTAATCCTCTATCACCTCTTCTTTATCTTCCTCTCTAAAAGAATCTCCTTTGCCTTGATCTTGAGTTGATGGTTTCTTTTCAAAGATTTTTGAGTTTACATTGAGCTTTGATTGGAAAGCACTCTCAATTAATTTTTTTGAGGTTGTTTCCAACCTTTACTCATGAGATTTCAAGGAACTCAACAACTCTTGCACTTCCAATTTAGAGAGATCACTAGTTTTTTCAATGACAGCCACCATAGAATCAAATTTCTCACGCAAACTTATCAACAACTACTCAACTATTCTCTAATCTGTCATCTTTTCACCATATGTTTTCATTTGATTGATCGATTCTATAAATCTAGCTGAATAATCTTTCACATTTTCATTTTGTTTCATTCTCATGTTTTCAAAATCTCTTCTAAGAGATTGAAGTTTGATTGTTCTTACCCTATTATCTTCTTGGATTCTTCTTGAAGTATTTGCCATACTTCTTGGAAGTTTTTGTTCCCATGATTATTGAGAAAATATTGTTGCAACTTAAAATAAGTTTCAACCTTTCAAAATTAATTAATCACTTATATCAAGTATTCCTATCATTAAATTGAAAATTCTCTCCCTTTGGATGGACCAGCCGCCATCCACCATCCTGCCTCCCAAGCCATCGGACGCCTCCCCTACCGGCAACAGCAGCAACACCCCATCTCAACCCTTGACCTCACCTGGCCTCACGCCACCCTGTACATCCCCACCCTATACATCCCCACCGTCCAACACAAATTCCCAGCCTGCGAACCCTCATCAAGGCGGCAACCCTCATTCCGATCATACCCATGCTCCAACTCATCCACCAACCATTTTTCCTCATCTCGTTGGCAATTCGTTTGGTGGTTTACCTACAGATGCTTGCCAATATCTGAAGATGCAAACACCGGTGGTGAACCAGTTGGGCAATCATGTACGGGCTGATTCAATTGGAATTTCTAAAGTGTTGCAATTGAAGAAATCTACAGATAGCCATTTAATTGAGGGCGCATCAAAATCAAACCTGGGACAATTGAAGCCTAAATCCTATGCTATGGTATTAAATGGATCTCAAGCAAATGACTTGGACATAGATTCCTGTTCTCTGGACTTAAATTACATCAAACCTGTTTGTGATAATGGTCGAGTGAAGGTAGTTCCTCCTATCGAAGTGGCAGATGCAGGATGTGAATTATGGTAAACAACCTTGGTTGGTTACTTTGTTGGTAGGAAGTTAGCTTTTCCAATTGTGAATTCCATTGCTCATAAATTATGGGATCAATTTGGCCTTAAGGAGGTTCTATCCTCAGATAATGGTTTTTATTTCTTCAAGTTCGATAATGTTCGCCAGGCTCTTTTAGTTCTTGAAGGAGCGCCTTGGCATATGGCGAACAGACCACTTATTCTAAAGCGCTGGGAACCTAATATGACTTTGGCTAAAGAGAATCTACGTTGCATTCCTATTTGGGTAAAGCTTTATAATATTCCCTTTGAGTACTGGACAACGGAGGGATTGAGTCATGTAGCTAGTGCTGTGGGACGTCCTTTACGGGCAGAGATGTGATCACTCTTACACGTAAACGTCTTAGCTATGCACGTATTTGTGTTGAGATTAATGCATTGGATGAGTTAGTGGAGGAATTTGATTTCCGTTGTGCGAATGGGGATTGGATAACTATTTGTGTTGAGTTTGAATGGGTCCCAATTAAATGTTTGAAATGTGGGATATTTGGCCACAATTGCTCTTCTCAAACTATGCCTAGTGAGAGTAAGGGTAAGCTTGCCAAGGTTTGGGTTGCTAAAGATAAGACTGGACAAAGTGGTGTAGCTAATGAGAAACCACCTATTGAGGATGAATGGACCCATGTCTCACATAAGAGGAAGTCTACAGTTAGTGTTGATTCTGGGGTTGCTGTGCCTATTTCTAAGGAGGTCCAACGAGAGGTTGATCTAGTGGTTGTCAATGTGGCTCATGTAGAAGTCGATAAATCATCTTCACCTAGTGCTCCTAAATTGCATCTGGAGGAGTCGAATGTGCCTATTGAGACTTCTCAAATTGGGGAAGATGGTGAAGTTTCTCCAGATCCTCTTGCCATGCTAGGTGAAGATGATAGTGATACTTCTGTCCCTCAGTCTAACACGTTAGCAACGAAAGGTAGAGATTCTCTTCAGAAAAAGAAGAATGGGTCAGGAAGCAAGCATAAGAAAGGTAAGAAGCATCACTCCCCTAGAGGAGGTAGATGGTGCTAGTCATTTTGAAGTTGTGATTCTCTCCTTGACTTTAATCATGTTATTTGGATGTTGGAATATCAAAGGGTTAAACGATCCCATCAAACAATCTGAAGTAAAGAACCTTATTGCTTCCAATAGGCTTTCTTTATGTAGGTTAGTGAAAACTAAAGTTAAGGAGAAGAATCAAAATAAGGTGGCGAATGCCATCTTTAACTCTTGGAGTGTCCTCTTGAATTATAATTGTTCTCCGATTGGCAGAATTTGGGTTTGTTGGAATCCAATTGATGTAGATGTCTTGTTGGTAGGCTGTTCTGCTCAAGCTATCCATGTTCGTGTTAATGCATTTAATGGTAAATGGAGTTGTGTGGTGTCAGTGGTATATGGGGATAATATCCCAGTTAAGCGTGTTGATCTATGGGATGATTTTGTAGCTAGGCATGGAGGTTTTGCACACTTGCCATGGGTAGTCATGGGAGACTTCAATTCTGTTCTCTCTCCTTCAGAAGTGGCAGGTGGTTCTTCTTCTTGGCCTGCATGGCAAGATGATCTTGGGAATTGCATGACGACAGTGGGGTTGGCTGATTTGAAATTTGATGGCTGTTTATATACATGGTCTAATAAGCATGTATCTGATTTTACTCTCAAGAAACTAGATCGTGTGTTGGTGAATTCGAAGTGGGAGGAGGAATTTTTGGGATCGTCAGCTACATTTCTTATTGCTGGTGTGTCAAATCATTCACCTATGGTTGTGAAGGTTGTAGAGTTACTACATAGGAAGATTCGATTTCGCTTCTTTGATTATTGGATGGATCATTCGGATTTCTTTCCATTGGTGGCTGAGGTTTGGGATGAAAGAGTAGCGAGAACCCCTATTTTTTGTTTGTGTTCGAAGTTGAAGAAGCTAAAGCTTGCCTTGAAATATTTTAATAAGGAACATTTTTTAGAACTTCCTACGAGAGTTACTCAAGCTCAGACTGATATAGAGCATGTTCAGTGTTTGATTCAACAATCGCTTTTGGATTCGTCTCTACATAGGGAGGAGTCTCAGTTACAAAAGGAACTTTGGGAGTTGAGCAGGGCTAAAGAAGGCTTTTTGAGACAAAAAGCTCGTGTTAAGTGGCTGAATTTGGGCGACCAGACACTGCTTTCTTCTTCAAGGCTATGAAAAGTCACTATAGCAAGAGTAAAGTGGTTTCCATTTGTAAAGACGATGGTACTAGAGTAGAGGAGCCGCATGAGGTCAGTGAAGTCATTGTTGCGTTCTATCAAAATCTCCTTGGTCAACAGCCTAGTGGTGAGAGTATAGATATGGACTTGCTTCGAAAAGCTCTTCCTAAGAGTATCTCAGTAGTGCATAATGAAAATCTTAATAGAGATGTGACAATTGAGGAAATTAAAGAGGTCTTGTTCTCGTTGAAAGACAACAAGGCTCCAGGCCCAGATGGTTTTAATGCAGGTTTCTTCAAGAGGACTTGGAGTATTGTGGGAAATGATGTTCTATGTGCCATCAAGTCCTTCTTTGACTCGGGGCAGCTATTGAAGCAGGTTAATACAACTACCATCGCATTGGTTCCTAAGGTTCCAAATCCTTCTCATGTAAAGGATTTTAGGCCTATCTCTTGTTGCAATACTATTTATAAATGTATTGCTAAGCTTATTGCCAATAGAGTTAAAATGGTGCTCCCAGACATTGTTGGACCTCAAGAAACTGTTTTTGTTAAAGGAAGGCATATTAGTGATAATATTCTTCTTTCTTAAGAGTTGTTGAGGAATTATCACCGCATGAGAGGATTGCCTAGATGTGCTCTTAAAGTTGATCTCATGAAAGCATATGATTCTGCTTGTTGGGATTTCCTCTTTGCAGTTTTAATGGTGCGTAGTTTTCCCGAAAGAGTTGTTAGGTGGATTACTGAGTGTGTCACTACCACTCGATTTTCGATTTCTATTAATGGGGAGCTATATGGATTCTTTGCTGGTGGGCGAGGTATTAGACAAGGAGATCCTTTGTCGCCCTATTTGTCGCCTTGGCTATGGAGGTCTTTTCGCGGTTGATGGGGTTGATGGTTGCTGAACAGGACTTTAAATACCATTGGAGATGTGAGAAGGAGAAGATCACCCACTTATGTTTTGCTGATGATCTTATAGTCTTTTGTAGAGCTAAGGTTGGTTCTGTCTCGCTCATTGGAGAATGCCTTAATCGATTCAAAGCTCTTTCTGGACTTCTTCCTAATCCAGATAAGAGTAATTTATTTGCCAGTGGTGTTTCTACATATCTTAAGGATCAGTTGCTTGATGTTTTGGGGTATAAGGAGGGCGTGCTGCCGGTACGTTATCATGGCGTTCCGCTAATCTCTAGCAAATTGAGGGCTTCGGACTGTAAGATGCTGGTGGACCGTATTATAGCTACGGCTAAGAGTTGGACCTGTCAAGCACTCTCCTATGCAGGGAGGCTACAACTTATTAATACAGTGTTATTTTCTATTCAGGTCTACTGGTCCTCTGTAATCCTTTTACCTAAGGCTGTGATCAAGCAAGTGGAAAATTCACTACGGGTCTTCTTGTGGAAGGGTAGTGACCTTGGCATCGGTGGGGCTAAAGTGGCTTGGGCAAAAATCAGTATGCCTAAGGAAGAAGGTGGTTTGGGTCTGCGGGGATTGGAAATTTGGAATAAGGCTACCATGTTAAAGCATCTTTGATCCCTTTGTACGGATTCTGCCTCTTCTCTTTGGGTTTTGTGGACACGATATTATTTACTTAGAGGACGGAGCATTTGGGAATTGAAGTGTCCTAAGGATTGCTCTTGGAGTTGGAGGAAAATTCTTGGACTCCGGGATATAGGGAGGGACAAAATAAAATCCAGAATTGGGAATGGTAGACATACCTCGCTTTGGTATGATAATTGGCATCCTCTTAGCCCTTTAGAGAAGTTTCTTGGAGAGAGGATCATTCGTGAATCCAGATTGAGTAGACAAGCTAAGGTGGTTGATATTGTTAAGGGTGATACTTGAAGATGGCCATCAGTTCGCTCCCCAGCTTTGTCTAATTTGATGCGAGATACGCTTGATACTTTTCGGCCAGACAGTAATAGAGAGGATGCATTGCGATGGGAGGATGATACACATGGAGTCTTCTCTATTCGGAGTGCTTAGGAGTCTCTTCGACTTCGCTGCCCTAGGGTGACTTGGTATCACATTGTATGGTTCCCTAAATGTATTCCAAGACATGCATTTATCCTTTAGCTAGCAATTCAAGGTGGCATTTATACACAGTCAAAGCTTCTTCGCTTTGGTTTGGTACAGTCTATGAGTTGTGTATTGTGGGGTTGTTCGATGGAGGATTTGGATCATCTTTTCTTTACTTGTCCATTTTCGGAGCGTGTTTGGCATGCTTTGCATGCAAAATGTAACTTGCCTTGAATTCAACGGAGTTGGACAGGTACTCTTTCATGGATGGAGCAGTTTAGTGGGAGATCAATGCACTCCATCATTATTTGGTTGATGTTTGCAGCTTTAGTTTATGCTATTTGGCGTGAGCGTAATGCTAAGACCCATGGTGAGGCTCCTAAACACGAGTTTACCATTATTCGAGACATTGTTTTTTCTATTAGTGCACGTGTTAATTTATGTAAGGGCTTGGTTCCATCTAATGAGAATAGATGGCTCCAACGTTCATGGGGTTTTTCTACGGATATTTTCTGTTGTCGTGGTTAGGTTATGAGCATTTATCTAAGCTAATGTTATTGGTGTTAGGAAGACATATGTTCCTAGCCTAGTTTTTCTGGGGTATGCCCCTGTGATTTTGTAATTAATCTTTTCATTTTGGATATAATACACTTACCGTATCCAAAAAAAAAAAAAAAACTTTCAAAATTAAAACCTATGAATTTTCAATTTTAACATAAAATTAAAACACCATAATTCATATGATAACTTATATTTTAATGGTTTAACTGTGGGTGTTGATATTCACCTATACAAATGAGGTAATATTTCATTGAAAGAAAGAACAAGAAAAAGAAAAAGAAAAGTTAAAGTATTATATTCTCTACATTTTCATACTATATTTTTATAGGTTTTGGCAACTCGATGTGAGGCTTGTTTTTTATCTCCTTGTGGTTGTGCCCCATAGATGAAGAACCCACTGTAAGTTATATGGATTTTATCTTGAAGCCGATTAGTGCTGAAAGTACCTTCACAAAGGGGAGGCAACACAACTTTAGGATAGAGTTCTTGATGTGGCCTCCTATGGCTTGCATTCTAACCCTCTTCTTATTGTTGAATTATGATATTTATATTGTTATAATATTGCTATGTTTATGCAGTTATTAAATTATGTTATTTATATTTATTAGTTAATATGTTTATCTACACACAAATCTCTCAATTTTCCCAACAATCTATTTTCATGTTGAGATGATTTGCTTGTAGATTAAATATGGTGTGATCATCAAATCTTAATTCAATGTATGTTAATCTGTTATATTTTACTAATATCAATTGTAGCATATTTAAATGAAATGTGTATATGCAGTCATGATCATGTTGGAGGAAAGATGGGTATACTAACTTGGATTGGCTAAGACTTTTAAGAGGACAACACTAATAGGAAGAAGGAAGTGAAAAAAAAGAAACTTGTATTTCTCAAATTCAAGACTTTACACACTTTTTGGCTTGTTACAAAATGGAGGGCACTACCCTTTATATAGTGTTTACAAGAAGATTCTAGTCCACACATTTTCTAGAGACACCTAAATCACACATCAAGATATTTTCCTAGAATTCTTTAGATATTCTTTATAAAACCACATATCTTACTTAGATATTTATATAGATTTTTTTAGTAGATATTTATATAGATTTTTCTAGATAATGCTTCTAGAAATGCTATACATGTTGGGCCTTTTAATTGATTTGGGCCTATAAACAAAATCCTTAAGCCCATATTATTTAATCCAAAAATCAAGTTTACTACTCAACATCCCCCCCCTTAAACTTGATTTTGCTACTCCAAGTAGAGTTTTTAACTTGCGGAACACATCATGCTTGAGTGACTTAGTGAGAATGTCGGCGATCTATTCTTGGGGAGGTTACATATTTCAGCTGAACTTCTTTTTTTGCAATGCTTTTTCTTATGAAATGATATCTTGTAACAATGTGCTTGCTTCTATCATGGAATACTGGGTTCTTTGCCAATGCCAATGTCGATGCCGATTTGTTATCAACATGGATTTCGTTTGCTCTTCTTGTGATACTCCAAGCGTCTTTAACAAGTTTCTAAGCCAAATTGCATGGCAGACACTTGATGTAGCTGCAACATATTCAACTTCACGTGTAGATAGTGCTAGGATCGATTGCTTCTTTGAGCTTCAAGTAAAAGTTGTGTCGCCTAAGTAAAACACATACCCAGTCGTACTCTTTCTATCATCACTATCTCCACCCCCAATCGCTATCACTATATCCAACAAGTTTGAACCCAATTTTCCCAACAATCTATTTTCATGTTGAGATGATTTGCTTGTAAATTAAATATGATGTGATCATCAAATCTTAATTCAATGTATGTTACTCTATTATATTTTACTAATATCAATAGTAGCATATTTAAATGAAATATGTATATGCAGTCATGATCAGAAATATCAATTTATTCCCTTTATGAGTTTTCCTAAATATTTGGAGGTAAGCTATTGATAGTGGTCCATGTTAAATCTTTGTCCTGGGAGACTTCTACCTATATACTTCTTTTTTTTTTTTTCATTCTTTACCATGTTTAATGTTATACTTTTCTGATTTCTTTTAAATATGTTTTTAACTCCTTTTTATTGGTTTACGTTAGTGGAACTGACATTTTTTGCAACTGTAACGTTTGTGTAGTCTGCTTTATGAAAAAATTAATTTATATTTAGTCAGAGCCGATAATTCTTGTCTCTGCAAAAATCCAAAAAATATATGTTCAAGGTAATAACATCGTGCATATTGTGCAAGTATCGTTTTGTATCCGCCCCCCAGGGCACTTCTCCACTGGCAAAGGACGGACGCTGTCAAACCTAGCAGAGCAGAGGTCGTGAGTTCGAAACATGGGGCTCTTGGAAGGCAAGAATTTATTCTTGGAAGGCAAGGGAACATTTGGAAGGCAAGGATTTATTCTTGGAAGGCAAGTGGGAACTTGGAAGGCAAGGATTATTCTTGGAAGGCAAGGTGCAACTTGGATTGGCTTGCTTGGCACTTTGTCAGACCAGGTGGGGAGCGCTCGGACCCTGGCCAGTTGGAGGCACATCCTGTGATTAACCGGACTGTGTGAAGAGGGGCCGGATCACAGACCCAAGGATTAGTCTAGAATAGGACACCTTGTAAAAAAAAAAAAAAAAAAAA